GTATTCCTTTTGCATATTGGCAATAAGATTTAAAGCACTACCCATTTTAAACCATTCAATTTGATCCTTTGACATAGTATGTTTAGTCACTACTTCAAATTCATTACCATTTCCATATTTTTTAACTTTAATAATAACATCTTTATCGGGTTCCAATCCAACGACTCCAACAGTTTCAATTATATCACCTCCAGAAATTAATTCATAATCTTTTTCGTTTCTAAAAACTAAAGGTAATACTCCTTGTTTCTTTAAATTTGTTTCATGAATACGTGCAAACGACTTGGAAATAATTAATGGACAACCCAAGTATCTAATTTGCAACGCGGCATGTTCTCTTGCTGATCCCTCTCCATAATTATGCTAAAAAAAGAATCATTTAAATTTTTTTTTTTTTTTTTAAAAAAAAAATTTTTTTTATACACTTACATCAGCTATAACTATCCACGAAACATTATTTTCTTTGTAATTACGTGCAACTTTTGGTATACTTCCATCCTATTTCCAAATCAAACCAAAATTAGACAATTTTTTTAGCATATAATTCTTTAAATAATCTTTAAATCTTTGTATCAAATATCATAATTGACAAATTTACCTCCCCAGTTAAAATGTTTCTTACAACATTGATCTTTTCATTGTCAGAATTTAATGCCCCTATTAATGTGTTATTTGAAATGTTTTCTAAATGTCCTTTATATTTTAACCAAGGTCCGGCTGCTGATATATGATCTGTTGTACATTTTCCCTTAACTTTAACTAATACTCTCATTCCCTTAAATTCATCTCCATGCCATGGAGCAAATGGTTTTAATTTTTGAAGCCTATTTGAATTTTCCGATATATTTATTTCTGTTGATGAATTACCAAATGTAATTATTGGTTCTAAATCTTCGTTACCTATGAAAGGGAAGGTAGATTAAATTAGACTAGTTTTAATGAAATCTTATTTAATCAAAAAAACGAACCAGATTCGAATCCTTGACGCGGCAATTCGTCACCATATGGACTTTGGAATTTAAATGGCTTCCCATCTTTATCTATTAAAGTATCTACCATAGGATTGAATGATAATTTTCCAGCAAATATCATAGCTGTAACAATCTAAACCAAAAAGAGAAATGTTGGAAATAAATAATAATTTTAACCGAAAAAGAATTAAATTTGTAAAGATTCTTACTTCGGGAGAAGCCAAAAAATTCATCGTCCCAGGATTATTGTCGTTTCTGTTTCTAAAATTACGATTAAACGAAGTAAGAATAGCATTCTCTTCGTTTTCTTTGATATCAGTTCTTTTCCACTAAACAAGATAATTATCGTTAATAAGTTATTTTTCAAAAAAAAAAAAATAATTATAAACTCGATTATAATCACCTGACCGATACAAGGTCCACAGGCATTAGCTAAAACTTTGCCACCAACTTGTTCTAATACTTCGGTTTGTCCATCTCTTACCATCGTGGCTCTAATTTGTTCACTTCCAGGCGTAATAAAAAAATCTCCCTTTGGCTGTATTCCTTTCTCTAATGCTTGATTTGCCAAACTTACAACACGACTCATATCCTTAAAATTTTTCAAAAAAATTTTTTCAATGCTCTTCCTTTTTTTTTTAAAAAAAAAAAATTAATTTTATAGTAATAATTACTTGATAGCTACTATTAGTGCAACTTCCAATTAAACCAGCTTTAACTTCATCTTTCCAACCATTCTTTGCAACTAATTCAGCAAATTTACTAAGTGGAGTTGACAAATCTGGTGTAAAAGGTCCATTAATATGAGGTTCAAGTTCTGATAAATTCATTTCTATAAATTGATCATATTGTACGTTGCCATCAGCTTTGAGATATGAAGCATATCTTAATGCCTCTTCTGCAACCGGATGCCGCCTTGTTTCTGTTAAATATGAATACATGCTATTGTTAAAAGGGAATACAGAAGTAGTTGCACCAACCTAACGGAAGATAAATTGAATTAATCAAAAAAAAATTCATCAATTTTAAATATACATAACAAAAAAAAAAAAAAGATTACTTCTGCTCCCATGTTAGCAATTGTGGCCATTCCAGTGCATGATAAAGTTTCAGACCCTGGTCCAAGATATTCAAGAATATGACCTGTTCCTCCCTAGAATCAATCATAAACATGTATTCATTAGAACCCGAAAGAAAGTTTCAACCAAACCTTTCACACTTTACTCACTTGAACAGTCAATTTCCCGACCAGATTTAAGATAACATCTTTTGGACTTGTCCATTTAGATAATCTACCACATAACTTAATTCCAATGATCTTCGGAGCCTTAAGTTCCCATGGAATATTCGCCATTGCATCAACAGCATCTGCACCACCAACTCCGATGGCGACCATGCCTAACCCTCCGGCGTTTGGCGTGTGACTATCTAAAAAAAAAAATAATTTTGATTAATGAATTCAAAGTAAAAAAAATTTTTATTGATTAACCAACCTGTTCCAAGCATGAGTCCACCTGGAGCAGCATAATTTTCTAATACTATTTGATGAATAATACCACTTCCTGGCTTCCAAAAATCTATACCATATTTTTCGGCTGAACTTTGTAAGAAATCAAAAATCTCCTTGTTCACAGATTTTGCAGTCTAAAAATAAATAAATTAAAAATCAAGGTTCAAGGCATCAGCTAAACATAACCCTTTAAGTTCATATATATATATCAAATATACCTTGACATCTTTATCAGCACCTTGGAATGCCTCAATTAAATGATCACAGTGAATTGATGATGGAACCGAAGTTGTAGGCATTCCCGCAAGCATAAACTGTAGAATTGCCATTTGCGCCGAAGCATCTTGCATGGCAACACGATCTATCCATCGAAATCACGTGAGCGAAATCACTTTTACAATCGACAAAAAAATATTTAAAAAATCTTTTTTACCAGGTCTCAATTTCAAATAAGTTTCACCTCTAACGATCCCACCATCATATTCAAGAGGGTTCCATAAATGTGCATATAATATCTTTTCTGAAAGAGTTAATGGTTTGCCTTTAAGTACATTTTGTTGAACAAAAGCCAAATTTTGAGTCAATTTTTCATAAGGTGGAGTAATTTTTGCACAATTTTTTACAGGTGGAATTGGACGATTAACTGCTAGTGCCAAATTCCTATGATGAATTGGATTTGATATTTTTGATAAGAAAGTTGGTGCCAACTTTTTTTCGCCATAAAAAAAAAAAGAAAAGTGATTCAATTGATGATGATCGGTCATCACATGATTAATTCAAAACTTTTTTATGCCAGAAAGCAATCATACCTTATGATAACTTTTAGTTAAAAATAATGTCCTATTAGACATTTTCTTTTAAATTGTGCTTTAAAAAAGGGCTAATCTAATAAAATGAAAAAAAAAAAACTTATTGGTTTCAGAAAATTATCGTGATGCACTGTAACACCCCCCCCCTTTATATGATTATCCGCCAATCTTAGGGAAAAATATTCAAAAAAGTTATCTGGTCCTCCGGGTCATCCGGTCATATATTTCAAATTTATAATTTTAATTCATTGTAGTAAATTCCATTTGAAGAACACCTGACATTCATAGTAAATCATCGTAAATTTTTTTTTGTTTGTAATCTTTGATCTTTTTGTCCTAAAAAGTTCCGATCTAATTTCTAAATTTGGTATATCTCATATTATTTGATTATCATTGCAATATTGAAAAAGCCACAAGTTTGATAATCTTTCGGAAAATTTTTTGAGCGAAAAAATTTTCTTGGAGAAGATTATTTGAAACTATTATATTTATCAATAACTTTAATCCATTTAACATGACTTCTAAGGCTTAAACGAATGCAAAATGTCATCGTACCATTCCATTCCCTTTTACCTATCGCCAGAAATGCGATATACAAAAAAAAGAAAGAAATACTTTTATTTACACAGATACTTTCTATCCCAAACAGATGATGTAAAAGCAATAAAATAACTGAGAGCCTTTTATATGTTTTCCAACACATCTTAATTTCCTTTTATAAATGGTGATTTTTAATGATAACAACAGTTGCTAAATTAAGGATATCAATAACTTGATAGTAAACTAATCTCCTATCAATTGGATCTATTATACCTTTTGGACTTAAAGTACTTTCCAACAAATAATCAAAAAATTAATTCCTTAGGTCTCTCTCCCCTTACTGAATTCTATTTTCAGATAATAAACATTTTATGTTTCAAACATAATTCTTTCCCAAATTTCAGATTCAACCTCCCAGAAGAAATTTTTTTCTAATGTATTTTCAACTTCCAATTGAAATTGAATTGCATACCTCGTGCGAATATAACTTGAAATTATTTAAACATTGTAATACAATTCATTTCTTTTTCAATCTCACATAACATATATGATCTTACAAAACTATTATTTTATTAAATACACACTTATGTAACATTCCAATATTGAGGATGCTTCGCATCAAAAAAGTTGGCATTTTTCGTGTCAAGTGTAAGTTGTATTAATTTCATTTCATGACAAGTAAATTAATCGTTTCATAATGTTCCTAAATATGGATCCCAAATCTGCACAAAGTGAATCTATCATCTCATTTTACTATTTTTACCCTTTATGACTAAATGAACTGAATGCTATGCTTGATGAAAATTTCCGACTCAAAATTAGTTCAATTTGGTTTAATGTCGGGTAAATTTTTTTGGTAATATTATGTTTCATGTAAATCCACAATTAACTTCTAGTTGAACTAACTAAATATATTTTTAGGTTCATAAAATTGGCGGATGTCAATCAATTTTGCGTTTGAGTATCACGTATCACTTAATAACATTGCCTATTATGACTTACTCTTTCACAATATAAATAAATTAATTTTCCTATAAATTTCATTCGCCAACTAGGTGAAATTTTTTTTTTCTCTCCTCCTCCTTTTTTTTTCTTTAGTGGTGTTCGCTTTAAAATCAAATGTTTTTGCTTATTATCGGATTCAATTGATATTTTTCAAGCTTTTAAGACATGGAAACTTATTCTAATTTTGATACTTCAGGTTTAAACTCCGATTCTAATGAAGTTGATCTTAATTTTCAAGTTTATTATATACCTATAAATGAATCTCATTCCCAACAAAGACAAACAACAAATAGCAATAGAAATAATGGTTCCGCTACAAGTTCATTAGTGTCAACGAATTTAACTTCACAAAATTCTCACTTGATGGCCACAGTTTCTTCTACTTATTCATTATCAAATAATATGTTATCTACTCCCGAAGGTTCAGATAATAATGCTGTATGTCCGGAGTTAATAATGTCTCCATATAATATGTTACCTAACTCTGGTCATTTGACTATGGAAGATACCTTCCAAGATGATGAGGTTCTTTTTTTGCTTTTTATTGGTCTTTTCAAAACAAATCAAAAGACTAACCGGATTAATTTATTTATTTTTTACACAGTTTTATTTCGAACCATTGGAATCACCAGCTTTAGCTGAATCTTCTGGTGTGCCATTCTTACACAATTATATTCCTGCTGGCCTTCTATCCCCTCAAATCTCACCTACTCTACCTCCAGATTCATCCATGAATATCACTTCAAATTCTCCGGCTAGACGTCAGAGTCACAAAGCAAGATATTCTCCTATAAAGGTTTCTTTGAATAATAATTCCATGTCACAAAGAAGGAAACCTTCCTTTACAAATTCTAACAGAAACAATAACAATAATGCGATCACAAGTATCATGACAGGTTCCCCAAATAAGTTTCCTAGTAATAACTCGATTACAATGTCCTCATTGTTAGAGTTAACATCACCTTTGATGAATAACATGGTAGAAACTTCAATAGCATCTTCTATGCAAGATACTATGCCAAATTTGAACCTAGGAAGCAATTTGGTGTCAGATGTAATGAATACACACTCATCAACAAATGTTCTTTCAAATGAAACGTCACCATCTTCATTTTCAGTTAAGATAGCTCCGATAACACCATCTTCATTAATGAAATTGAAGAAGAAACAACCAAATTCACCAAAATCGAGTCAGATCGATCTAAAATCTAATTCACAAAAACAATTACCTCAAGACCAGCAAAAGAAACAAGAACAATCTCAACAACTACAATCCATTTCAAAAGATCAGTCTACTTTCATTGCGCCAACTCCTCCAACTCAATTGAATCAAATTCGTACAAATATGATCGCAACTACGGGAACAGGTGGGACAACAATACATCATAATATTAGTTTGTTACATGTATGACTGTGATTTCACCAACTATATCATCTATCATATCAGGAATGTCTCCAAAAATAACGTCACCGATTCTATCAGTCTCTACATCCGGAGCATCGGGTAGAAAATCAATGCGCTCAAATCCAAATGCATCATCCCCATTGGCTCTTGGACCTTCACTTCATTCAAAGAGTCCTCATACATTGAAGCCAACCATTAGTCCAAATCTTAAACCCAAGTTACCAGGTGTTTTAGCAGATGAAGTTGCTGAAAAGTTAGCAAATAAATCAAATTATAGAAGCATTCTAGAAGGAACGGCGCAGTAAGAAATATATATAATTGATTTTTCTTTTTGTAATTAAAGTTGTTTTTTTTGATTTTTATTTTTTTTTAAAAAAAAAAATAATTTTGAATCGTTTGTAAAGGTCCCTCGGAATTTCATATCCATCAGATGTACATTCGAGTTTAGAATCTCGACGCACAACACATAAAGCGGCTGAACAAAAGCGTAGAGATTCATTGAAACAGAGTTTTGATGAATTGAAAAAAGTTGTACCTTATTATTCGCCGTTAAGTAAAAATAACAATGATGATGGAAATACTAATAATATTGGTAAAAGTAATAATGGAAAGTCTGGCAGCGGAAAGCCTGGTAACGGAAAGTCTGGTGATGGAAAGTCTGACGGAAAGTCTAGCGATGGGTCTATTAAAAATGTTAGCAAATTATTCTTACTAAAGAGAGGTAAGTATAAGTGTAATTTTGTTTTTTTAAGCAAATTTACTATATTTACATATTTATTTATTTATAGCACATGATCATATTGTGGAACTTGAACAAAAATCTAAAGAAAAGGATGAAGTTATTCGAAAGTTGATAGATGAATTAGATGAACTTAAAGGAGTGAAAAGACAGAAAATAGATGAAACAGAGAAGAAAAAAATTGTTGTTGATGTTGTAGAAGATAAAAGGATAAGCAGCAAACCATTACATGAATGAATTATATAAGATTTTTTATTTTTAACATAATATTCGAGATTTGAGGAAAATTAATTTTATTACTATGAATTTCCAACCAACCAACCTAAGACTATTTTTCTTTTTTTTTTTAATCCTTACGAATCATTATAAATATATCTACATAGGTTTGCATTATCATTTTCACTATTAATATCAAATAACGATTAATTATTTATACATCAATATGATTAAGAATATTGTAAATAGAACAAGGTTGAGAACTTACCCCATTCACGCATAATTATTTGATATTTAAAACAAGTAATTATACAACTTAAATGTAATTACGAAATTTAATTGGTTTATTCGAGTTATATTATATAAATAAAAAAAAAAACTTTTTTTTTGAGAGAAAAAGAGTACACTTTACGTGATCAGAGTTTACCTTTTTTTTTCTTTTTTCTTTTTTTTTTAAAAGAATAGTAGGATAAGTATCAATTTCAAAAATCTATTTTTTTATTTCATATAAATATTTCTTTGTATATATTTCACTATAATAAGTTTTTATTTTTTTAAAGTAATGTTTCCAAACGGAATTTATTATAAAAAAATAGTTTAATCCAAAAGATCAATTTTTATAGATAAATAAAAATTAAAAATTGGTTAATTTTAAATATAATAATTTAATAAATGATTTAGACAATTAAGATATAATAATAAAGATAAATTATATTTTAAATAATTTTAGATATAAAAGGTTTTCTAGGAAAATGGGGTTCTGACCTAGCAAACATTATTAATTTAACTAATTCTTAATAATAATAAAATTAATATTTACAATAATATTTTAAATATTATTAGTTAAATTAAAATAAATCAAATTTTTAATAAATTAATAAATTTTATTATTAATATCCTAATTATATAACCTGATTAAAAATATTAATATCAAATAAATAAGGATTTTTTTTAGATATATTTATTTATAATTTATTATAAAATTTAAAGTTAAAATATTTTGACTTTGAAGATTATAAGTTGAAATAAAAATCAAAAAAATCAAATAATAACAAATTATATTATATATAAAAACTTAAAACTAAAATATATATATTTTGATAAGTATTATTTCATTTCTGAAATTATTTCTATTTAAATCCTTAAAGATTAATGATATTAGATTATTTAGTAATAATTGAATTTATATTATAAGTTATACTTTAATAGATCTAATTTAATATCTACTAAATGTAAATTATAATATTAATTTATTAAAAATAAATTTTATATAATATATAAAATTATAGTTACATAATATTTATATAGCTTTTTAGTCTTTATTCTTATAATATTTTTTTGTTAATACAATTTTTATGATATTTTAATAAATGATTATATTCTATTAGGGTACTGATATTTATCAATTTAATATAGATGCCTCAAGGTAAGATATATATAGTAGGTTATGTGACTCATATTATATAAATTTTTAAAATAATAAAGGTAATTAATGATAAGACAAAAAGATAATTTATTATATTTTTCTTAAGGTTTGAAAAAAGTGGCTTATTATTACGCACCCTGTTTTACACATCCTTTTACACTCCTTTTATGCGTTTCTTTTTTTAGTATATATTAACTGCAGGAGCTGTAGATGGAATTTCTCTTTTTTAATATAAATTAGCTACAGGAGGCTTGTTCTTTTAATATATATTAGCTGTGGGTTATAATTATACTTTTTAATATATTTATTTTAATAGATTTAACTCAAAGCCTTTAAAATATATAAATATATGAATTTTTAATAAAGTAAAAAATTAAAAAAATTTAAAAACACATTCATTTTTTTTTTAAATATTAAATGATGAGTCGTCAAACTTACTTTTTTGACCTAAAATTTAATAAAAAACTAATTTATAAATTCTTAATTAATAAATATTAGGAATTTACTAATGCATATATGGGGTGAGTGCTAGGAAAATGGACCAAATTGATTTTTTTTTAAAAAAAAAGTTCCTAAGTAAAATAGATGCAGATTTGGTCATCTGATTCAGATCATTTATTATTTCAAAAAAAAATTTTTGTCGATTTGGTCTTTTTTCCTAACACTCACCCCATATATACAGTATTATGATCAAAACAGGAATTAATACTCCAAATTGCATTATTATTTGTCAAGATATAGCAAAAAAATAGAAGAACATTAAAAATAAAAGCATTTCAGAAATTGATGATATAATTAAAACTACATGACTACTCTAATTAGCCTATATAATATACCTATAATGAAAATAACTCATTCTATGCCTCCTATATCTACAATAGAACTAATTCCTTCTCTTTCTATCATTGATCTAGGTAAACCTATACCAGAAATTCCTATTAATACATCAGCTCAAAGGAGAGTAGCAGACGAAATTCTTTCTAAATTAAAACAGATATATAATATCACAATTGACAATTAAATTCAAAATAATCTATATATGAAAATAAAAAAAATTCAAACTAAAATTAATTCTAGTAAAGATAAAATTAGCAAATTAAAAAGAAATGCAATATATATTCAAAATTGTAGAGAAAAAAAGTGTAAATTACTTACTGAAAATTAAGAAGTGATTTAAACCTGACAGTCTAATACTACTTTTTGAATATACAGACTTACATAATCAAATTCATGACTCGGGTGAATTTGGATCAGCTGATGCAAAAAGACGAAAAGAAATGGTTAAAGTGCGAATTATTGAAAACTTACGTAAGAATCTTAAGAAGAGATATAATATTTATATGACACGAACAACGCTAAATAATTATCTCTTATCTCACTAATCAAATTCTATTGCTGCAAAAGCATACCACTATCTAGCATGAGTAGCAATAGCTGAAGGTTCACATACAAATATAAAAGAACATATTGATAGGCACTATTGTCTTGCATCCGTTAAATATGCAAGACAATTTTCTTTTGTATTTACTGATGCATCTGTTATTATATCCCAAGATGATAAAGCAAAAGTGAGTCTCAGTATGCCTGAAGTAGGTAAAATGTTTTGCATCTTATAGTTAATTAATAAGCTTATGAATGTAGCTGATCATGATTTTCCTACTGGATATGAACAAAAATTAATTCCTTCAGTATATCTAATGATAACACCAAGTGAATTAAAAGATGATTTTTGAATAAGACAGCTTGTGATTAATATTTGTTCTCAATTGCCTATTACTATATCTTTATTTACACACATGCAAAATCTTATAAATCTCATTACGAATTCCAAATATAATAATATATTGAAAGCAAATAGACAAATTTAGCCTATTTGGATATTGTTAGTGGATGGAGGACCGGATGAAAACTCTGGATATTTAAAAACATAAATTCATATTGTCAGCTTTTTATAAAGCTTGATTTAGATTACTTAAGTGTCTGAACACAAGCTCCAGAATAATCAAAATACAATTCTGTTGAAAGAGGCATGATAACATTGTCTTGCTAACTTGCTAGTATAATATTACTAATTAATCATTATAGCATTCATTTGAACTTGCAAGGTAAAATTATAAATACAGAATTAGCTACTTGAAATTTTCAGTATGCTAAAGAAGCCCTTTGCAATATTTGGAATCAAAATGCAATTTTTGGAAAATATGTAAATATATTAATACATTCGTAAACCCGTTTGAAAATATATATTTCAAAGGTACAGAAAAAGAAAAAGGTTGATGAATTAAAAAAGCAAGAAACACAAAAACAAAAAAAATACAAAAAAAAAGATAGCACACCTGAGTGTTTTATTCCATGATCTTGGATTAAGAATCATTGCAATCTGTGTATATATTCTATTGATATAAAATGATGCAAAGATACGAATTGTTGTAGTTTATCTAAAGCTAAAGAAGCAATAGACTTTTTGAAATCTACAATGATTTTTTACCACCTGTTACCAAGGGTAAAGATAGATTTTTTACAAACCCAATCCATATACTCCAGTACTATGATATTTTGAAAATTTCAGGTTACGATGAACATTGTTCTTCTCTTAAAGAAACATACTCACGCCTTCATTGCCCTATTTGTGAAAAATACTTTCCTACTCTTACTTTTTTAACAAGTTATAAAAGAATAACATACCCTACTACTCGAGGATGACCTAAGGCATAATCTAAAAACCAGCTTGATGACTTTTCCCTTTTATCCTCACAACAATCTGTTAAAGAAATTGATTTAAGAGAATATAATTTGGATGGAGAGTAAATTGGTTGGATTTTATCAGCTGTCCAATTAGTCATTAGTTATTCAAATTTTGATTATTATTATTTTCATAAATAAATTTTGATTTTTGTCATTCTAAAAAACTAAGCCACATCAATCACATGATATATATTTTTAAGTATAATGTAAGACACTTATAAGACACCTTAGCTACTCCTTCACCCCTTAAAATATTACATAATATATGTCAGTACCCTTATATATACAATAAATAAATTAGCATTTCTATTATGATTTATTAATAAAAACTATTATATTCTTAAAACTTTTTATGTTTAATAAATTGTTTTATTCAACTTTAAAAAAAGAATAAATAATACAAAAATAATAAATAAATATTTAAGAATAAAATTATTAGTTAATTTATTTATATTATAAAATTAATGATATAATATTATCAATTTATTAAATTTTAACATATTATTAAAATTATTTCTTTTAAAACTTAAATCTTTTGGCAAAGATTCAATTGATTCAGTCATATATTTTAATAAAAAATTCAGTTTAAATTAAAAATTTAAAATTTGATACAAAAATTATACTAAATTAATTGTTCATTTATTCTTCAAAATAAGTTAGTCAATTTTTATAAAATTAAAATACCATTTAATCAAATAATAAAAATCTCTAAAGAATAATAAATAGGATTAAATTATAATAGAAATTATCTAAATAAATTAATAAAAATTATTCATTTAATATGATAATACAATTATTCTAAATAAATAATTTAATTCGTTTAAAAACTAATAATAATTATCTTAAAAAA